CTAACATCTTGGTATTCACATCTGCTTACCTGTGGAGCTGTTATTTGAAGTAAATTTGCTTTAAACAATACATTCTTGGGTTATTTTTTAGTTTGCACTCTTTTCAATGATGTGCCTAGGCAAGTTACATTTGATATTATTAATTAGATTTAAGTGTAAAGTTTTGTCACTGGTTTTCTGATGTCCCTTCTGTTGTGTCCCCTTCCTAATCGATGTGTCGTTTTCACTCTGTCTGCTGACTGCTCTGGGGATGACAGTGCTTAACATGCTTTCCAAGCTAGGCAGATTTCAGGTGATGTAGGAAAGCCTTACCACCGTCTAGATGCTTCTCCTCTAGGTTATAGCACCATGCATTTACATGAAGCACTTGGGAGAAGTCAGCGGAAGGATGGTCTGTGGTCTCTCACTACGTGTATCAGCCCGTCCTGTCCTGTGCTGCTCACGGTCCACAGGTCCTGTCTTCTCACAGTGAATTGTCTCCATTTGACATTTTCTTCCAAAATGCCTTTCTCTTTGCCTCCTTCTGGAAGAGTTTTCTTTGATGGGTACAGAATGCTGAGTTTCAGGAAGTCAGTGCCACTTCCTCCTGTCCTGGACCTGCGGCTTGCCCCTTTCCCCCACAGGGGTGTCCTGTGTCTCTGCTGGCTCTGGGGGTGTCCTGTGTCTCTGCTGGCTCTGGCTCTGGGAGTGTCCTGCGTCTCTGCTGGCTCTGGCTCTGGGGATGTCCTGCGTGTCTCTGCTGGCTCTGGCTCTGGGGGTGTCCTGCGTCTCTCTGCTGGCTCTGGGGGTGTCCTGCGTCTCTCTGCTGGCTCTGGGGGTGTCCCGCGTCTCTCTGCTGGCTCTGGGGGTGTCCTGCATCTCTGCTGGCTCTGGGGGTGTCCCGCGTCTCTGCTGGCTCTGGCTCTGGGAGTGTCCTGCGTCTCTGCTGGCCCTGGGGGTGTCCTGCGTCTCTGCTGGCTCTGGGGGTGTCCTGCGTCTCTCTGCTGGCTCTGGGGGTGTCCTGCGTCTCTCTGCTGGCTCTGGGGTGTCCCGCATCTCTCTGCTGGCTCTGGGGTGTCCCGCGTCTCTCTGCTGGCTCTGGCTCTGGGGGTGTCCTGCGTCTCTCTGCTGGCTCTGGGGGTGTCCCGCGTCTCTCTGCTGGCTCTGGGGGTGTCCTGCATCTCTGCTGGCTCTGGGAGTGTCCTGCGTCTCTCTGCTGGCTCTGGGGATGTCCTGCGTCTCTCTGCTGGCTCTGGGGGTGTCCTGCTTCTCTCTGCTGGCCCTGGGGCTCCTCCCTTTGTTTCCAGCTCTCAGCACTTGGAGAGTCCTGGGGTGAATTCCTCTGAAGGTTTGCTGGTTTTTGAATCTGTAGGTGTGTATCTTTTGCCAAATCTGGAAAAATGTTAGCACTTGTTAACCCTTTGTCTACCTCGCGCTGCTCATCACCCCCTTGGGGACTTCCAGTGATGGGAACAGCAGATATTTTGTCTGCCTCACGCATCCCCAGGGTTCTTGCGAAGGCTTTTTTTTAACCTGTATTACCATTGCCTAATTTCTCTTCATTTTCATTGATTCTTTCCCCTGTCATCTCGGCAAACTGCATTCCTCAGTTTTGGCCACCCACGTTAAGTCCTGGAGTTTCTGCTTAGCTGTTGTTTCCAGTTTTAATTTTATAACTGGACGTTTGCTGTAGGAGTGCTCGCCCCACAGCCTTCCTTCCAGGGTGTTCTTGCGCAACTCCGGGTTTTCTCGTCCCAGCTGCATGGAAGCTCTCTTCTGGGTGACCAGTCATTCTGGATTGTGTGTTAATCACTTTGATGGGGACATGGCACGGAATCCTGTATAAATCCTGTAGATCATGTTGGAGCCAGTTAGCTGGGTGCATTTAACCCGTAAGGCCCCAGCCAGTGGGTGCTGATGCCAGGGCCTTGCCATCCTATCAGAACTGCCCTGCGTTGCCTGACGCAGCAGCCAGGTTGGAAGCTGGCAGAGCCTGCCCTGGCCTCAGTTGTTCACAGCCTTGGCCCAGGGTCAGATGCATGTGTCCATGCTATGAGAGAGGAGGCTCCCTGAGTGAGCTGCGCCAGGGGCCCTCTCACAGGGTCCTCTATGATCTCCCTGGCACATCACGGTCCTCAGGTGCCCACTGCAGGCTCCTGGATGGGAAGCTGGCGCTTTCTTACCGCGTTGTGCCTCCTGCTCCCAGTGCCTGGGCCTGGCCACGGGCCTAGCACCAGAAAAGAAACACAACAGAAGCTCAAGCAGTTCCAGCCACATTTGCAGCCACACTCTTTCTGAGCGCTTTGGCCTCCTGAGGACCCCATCACCACCTGAGCCTGCCCCTAGAGAGGGGCTGAAGTGCAGCAGTTCACAGACGATCCCCAAAACGGGTGCTTCCCCCGCCCCTTGCGGCATGGGAGACACCAGCCTGGAGCCCCCAGGGTGTCACCTATCGGCACCAGGGCTCCTGCGGGCCGGGGGCCCAGCCAAGGAGGCGTGCCAGAGCCTGGGCTACTGGAGAACAATCCTCCACCTCGGGAGCTCACAGCCCTCAGCAAAGGTGACGGTCAGGGAGCAGCCAGCATGCAGTAGAGGCAGCGCCCGGGGCGTGAGTCGCAGACCTGGTGTGAGGTCCCTGGCAGTGCATTGTCTACGGGCAGGGCACGAGTGCCACAGAGGAGAGGCACAGAGCCCGGCTGGCCCTGCCGTCTCCTCCTGCCAGGCCCTGGCGTGCGGCATTCCCCCTCCCACAGGCATCAGTGAAGGCGGCCCAGACCTTGTCCCTCTCGTAGTTTCACATCCAAAAAGCTCGTATGAAACCCTGACGTGATGACGCAGGCACCTGCTCCATGGCCTGCTGCAGCTGGCTCCCTCAAGGCAGGAGGGAAGCTGCCCTCTCCACATGACAAGTGGGTGCTTAAGTGGGCACTCAGCAGAGTAGAATCAGCCGCGTGCTTCAGGCACGGGGGCACCAACAGAGCCTGCCTGCTCCTGCACCACAGGACAGTGAACCGTGTGCAGGCCCCAGAATCGGCAGGAGGGAGGATGAGTGTGGAGAGGAGACGGGGACCCGGAGGCTGTTTCTCCCAGCGGGGACTAGCTTACTCTCTGCGAGGGACCAAGGCTGGGGAGGGGGCTTCGGCGATTGTCCTTCAGGCCACCGTAAGTGGCTGGACTCCTGTGGTCACGTCTGCTCCAGAAGTGGTCACTTCCACAGTCACATGAACTCCTCTTGTAAGCCAACTTCCCCTGGATTAGATGGTGCTCGTTGGGAGCCAGGAACAACTGCTCAGAAGTGGGTGCAGCACACAGGCCCACTGTGCAGAGGCCAAAGGTCACAGTACTGTGTGCGAGAGCTGCCGAGACAGCAGCACCTGCTCCCCGCAGGGCGGAGGCCCAGCTGTGCTTGAGGGCAGTATTGCATGTTGAGGCTTCCCGCACTCAGCTGCCTGAGAAGGCACACCCCAAGACACACTGGGCCTTGTTGTGCAGGGTGTCCACACTGAGGAAGAGAAGGGCCTGCACTTGGCGATCACGGTCAGGGCCAGCCCGGAGGACAGCTCAGGAATGGCACCATTGTTGCCCGGAACTGCTCCAGGCTCCAGTTGGATCTGTGTTGCTTCGCTTCCCTTGGCGGCCTCGGTGAGGCCCCAGGCTGGCCTCCCAGATGGCCCGGAGCCTCCCCTCCCTGGACCATAGCGCCATCTCCCCACAGAGGACAGGAAGTCGACCCTGTCACCTGCCATGCGAGCAGCTCTCATTGTTTCTCTTCCAGGACAGCTGGTCCCAGAACCTGCTGTCTTCCCCGTGGACACCAGGCTGCCTGGCTCGGCTTTGCTTTTCCCAGTCAGGCCGGGCAGCGGCGGCGGCAGTGCCGATCCGCGGCACAGCCCTGTTCCGAAGCAGTGTGTAGAAGCATCTGTGTGCCCGCCCAAGTCCCCGTAGCAATCCACGCTGACACAACTGCGCGTGCTAATGAACCCAGAGCTGTTAATGTGGTTTCTTCAGTTAAATTGATTCATGAATTTTGAAGAGAACATTATCTAATGAATTTTCTTTGAATAGAAAGCAATTAAAAGGACAAATCAGTCTGATTAACCCCAAAGTCACCCTCCTGCCACAAATGGTGTACAGTTTGAAATTATATCATAAAAAAGTAGAACACACTTGCTGTCTCCTCGCCCTCTGCTAATCCGTGTAAATTAATGAACAACAAAGTTAATTTCTTTGATGACCCTTTCTAGTATCACCTGGGTTATGCTGATGTTTAATTTGCTTAATGTTATAATAAAGACTAAACAGATTTTTTTTCCACAGCGAAGTGATTATCACTGCCTTCGGTTAAGAGGGGATTTTTCTTCTCTAACACGCGTGGACGGGTGTGTTTCCTTTAGGAGCCCAGTCGCACTTTGCCGGCCCGGCACAAGTGTAATTAGTGCTCTGTGGGCACCGGGCACGGCTCCTGCCTGGGGGCCCCGTCCTCTGCTGCCAAGGAGAAGTGGCCCTGGGGGCGCCCGGGCAGGGACGGGCACAGCCCGCAGCCCCTCTGCAGGCGTGGGCCACCCTGCACGTCTGCATCTCCCTGCTGCAGGCTGACCGCACACCCAGGAAGCAGCGCTAAAACCTGGAAGAAGGAAGGAATGAGAGTCGGAGGGGCCGCGGACAGAACTGTGGAGCACCCACCCGGGGTGCAGAGCGGGGACTTCCACGCCTAGGAATTGCTTCGTGTGCTAGGGCAGGTCCGTCCCATACAGCCCTGCGCGGAACACGGGCAAGATGAAGGCCGGTGTCGGGACAGCTGCAGGTCGGGACAGCCCCGGAGGCTGCCTGCCCTGTGCCTGCTCACACTCCTGTCACTGGTGGTCACGTGGTGGCTCAGAGCGCGCCGAGGCTGTGTTTTAATTGAGTGTAACACCTCTGTTTGTGTTCTTGCGTCTTCCATTTGGGGCTTGACAGCTGTGTTTACACCAGGCTGTTAGAGCTGTTTGTCCAAATAAGCTTCTGTGCCTTTTCCCTTCCAGACTCATTCACCAGGCGGGTGTTGTGGAAGCTGCTGAAGGCTGTGAAATTCGGAGAAGTGGTTTCTTACCAGCAATTAGCAGCCCTGGCGGGCAACGCCAAGGCCGCCCGGGCCGTGGGAGGAGCCATGAGGAACAACCCGGTAAGTCCCCTTGCCCTCTGCCGTGGGCCAGCTGTCCAACGGAAGCAGGTCCTTGGCTAGCCTGGGCTGCTGGGAACAGAAGGCCTCCATCCTGGCCAGCGACACCCCTCCTGGTGACAACCCTGGAGCCCCTTGTCATCTTGTTAAGCAGAAAGGAGGGAGGCTGCAGACGGGCAGGGTGGCCCTGTCAGGCATGGCTAGCTGTCACTTTCCTGTGGGGGAGCAGAAGAGGCCACGGGCCAGCCCAGGATGCTCACACTGTAGGGAGTATGAGCCGCGTCCAGCCGGGCTCCCTGGGCCCGGGGACCTGGAGCTGCCATGTGAGCGACACCTCTCAGCAGGGGGTGGCTGGCTACCTTCAAGCCCCTGTGTCCTCGCCACTGCCGTGTGTCCATACCCCAGACCACCAGGAGCCAGAGGCTGGCTGGGCCACCACCAAGGGGGAGGGCGGCTGGGCCACCACCAAGGGGGAGGGCGGCTGGGCCACCACCAAGGGGGAGGACGGCTGTGCCCTGTGTTGCCAGGAGCACATTGGGCACCACATTGCAGTCATGTTGGGCGGTCCATACCGTCCAGTGGGAGCAAACAAGTTGCGGGTGCATGTGATGCGTGCCTGACTGTGTGCACCGTGGGCTCCTCCGTGAAGTCTCAAGGCGCCCCAGTGTTCTCGTGAGTCCACTGGGGGCTGCTGAGCTAGCGTGTTAGTAATGGCTTCCCCCCAAGCTCTAGACAAGTCTGGAATGTTGTAGAAGAATGGCGGCCCATCGGGGAGAACATGACTAAATCAAGTAGACCCCACTCTTTGAAAAATTGTTGTGGCTTTTCAGTGTATCTGCTGAACGGTTTTTGATCCTGGCTCGCGAGAGAGGCCAGGGCTTTTCTCGGGGCCCGAGGACCGCACAAGAGGCCACCAGCCCGGAGAGCATGCTGGGCCCGTGCTCGTTAGAAAATGTCTTGTTCGGCCTCTCCAGGGAGACAGAGCACTGCAGGAGCCCAGCAGGAGCGTCTGTGGAGTCTCAGAGTCGGGAAGCTTGGCACCAGCATTCTAGTGCCAGCCAGCTCCCTCATGGAGGCCGTGTGGCCTTCCCAGCAGGCTCAGCGTCACCAGGTGCCAGGAGCCGGCTGTCTCCAGGATCTCTGGGCAGCCTGGACAGCAGGGCCAAGATGTGCTCAGAAAACTGCCCAGGCACCCCTCACCACTGCCCAGGCACCCCTCACCACTGACCAGGCACCCCTCGCCACTGCCCAGGCACCCCTCACCACTGACCAGGCACCCCTCGCCGCTGACCAGGCACCCCTCGCCGCTGCCCAGGCACCCCTCGCCGCTGACCAGGCACCCCTCGCCACTGCCCAGGCACCCCTCACCGCTGCCCAGGCACCCCTCGCCACTGCCCAGGCACCCCTCACCGCTGACCAGGCACCCCTCACCACTGCCCAGGCACCCCTCACCACTGCCCAGGCACCCCTCACCGCTGCCCAGGCACCCCTCACCACTGCCCAGGCACCCCTTACCGCTGCCTAGGCACCCCTCCACCTCATCCTCAGACAATTCGCTAAATGCAGTTCAAAGGCGATCGATTGGCCACGAGCGTTCCCCACCTTTTTCTAAGCAGGCGCGTTCCCGGGGAGTTAGTTTATTCACAGACCGCCCTGAGCGCTAATGACCCCCGAGTCCTGTTCTGCCAGTCACCCGGATGGCTGTTGATAAAGATTTAGCGTCCTGTTCTCAGTGTCAGGGTTGTCAGTGGAACTGAACCATTTGACCAGAAGAAGAAAACGCACAGGGAGCTATTGATTACAGCTCCGCAGTGTCACTTGTTCACCAGGATTTAGGTATTGATGAGGCTGCGAGTGAACACAGCCCCTTCCCCTGCGGGCCGCTGCCCGGAAGAACAAAGGCAAAGTTGGAAAAAATATTCCGCCGGTCCCGGAATCAGAGGATTCCGCCATTGATTGCAAGGCCCCTTCATGTTATTTTTGTTGGAAACAAATCTGTGGGTTTGGAAGTTTTGTAGCGTTGGAGACAGGGCCTGCGTGACGGCTGTGTGTATCCGATGGATTGGATTTCACAGCATGAAGATTTCAATGCACCTGTGATATTATGAGCTTCTTGCTTATTGATAAAAATTACATTTTATGCAGCCGGGGCTTTAAAGAAGTGGGCTAGGGCACCCCAGCCTTTGAAAGTGTCCCTAAGGGCCCGGTGACTTAGCAAGCCTCAGCCTAGGGGTCAGAAACATGATACTGACATTAACACACATGGACACAGCATCCCTGTTTTGTTTTGAAGAGCAGACTGACAGAGGAGAGACACCAGCAGAGCTCTCATCTGCGGACTGACTTCCCAGCCAGGCCAGGGCTAGGCAGGAGCCGGCAGCCTCATCTCATCCTCCACAGGCGCGGCAGGGACCCAAGAGCTGGCCATCACCTGTGCCGTCCCAGGGAGCACCCGCACGCAGCTGGGTCGGCAGCGGAGCAGCAGGGGCTGAGAGCGGGTCTTCCGTAGCGCATGCTGGCGTGGCAGGCAGCAGCTGAACGCCACTGCTCCGTCCTGTTCTATAGTTAAAGTGCCATGGATCCAGTCACTCTTCTGTCTTGCAGTCTGGGCCGCTGCTCTGAGCTCCTAGTCCCACACGTTGCTATGGCAGCCCAAAGTCCTGGTCCAACTGGCCTGCGTGCACCAGGTTTCCCATGGCCCTCGAGGGTCCGTCTCCACCAGAGGCAGGCTAGGAACCTTCAGACAGTGGCTGGAAATCTGTTGGGATGCCACCGTGCCTATCATTACGTATAATGATGCTTTACAAAGTTCCTACAAAGAGGAGTTCGTTAAAAGCAAGAGTTGTGGTATAGAATGTCACCAGTGTCCTCAATTTTGGGGGCTCAAAAATGTGTTTCAGAATAAGTGGGTAATGCCTGTTCTGCAGAAAGCATTGCATGGGCCCGACTGCACCTGCTAACAGCCACGTGAGCTTGGCAAGGGGCTTCCGTGATGTGAGGCCGAGCCCTGGCCTGGCCCTGGGCAGGAGTCCCTAGGCTGGGAGGTGAGAAGCCACTCAGTACATCACTCCGCTGGCCCTGCTGAATGCCATTGCCAAGAGTGGGTTGAGAATCACCCTGGACCATGGCTGAGCCCATTGTGGGCACACCTGACAGGCGAGGACTGGCCTGGTCAGGAGCGGGGCTAACCACATTGAGGCCTTTGGCTGATGAAAGGCAGGAATTTTGGATGAGGAGGCAGTCTGCCCAACGCCCAGTGCTCAGGGTTCCAGAACAGTGCCAGCCCCTGCAGCAGACATTCCCCCAGCAGGAGCACAGGCAGGGTGGTGTTCCTCAAGCCGCACGTGCCCAGAAGTCAGAGGAGGGACGAGTGGCCTGCCTGACTCAGGGCAGTAAATACCCAGGCTTGGGTGAAGCAGACACTGCAAGGGCAATTCATGGAAAATAGAATGGGAAATATGCTATGTGGAAAGGTGGCTGGTGTTGCAGCATAGCCAGTAAAGCTGCAACCTGCAAGACCAGCATTGGTTCATGTCGCATATGCTAGGCGTCCAGTCCAGCTTCCTAAAGGCTTGGCCCGCGTGTGCGGGCTCCTGCCCCCCACGGGAGACCCAGGCGAAGCTCTGCCCTGGTGGTCACGGCCACCTGGGTCAAGAACCAGCAGACAGAGGACCTCTGTGTGTGCTGCTCCTTCGCCTTTCAAATACATTAACAAAAAATGAGCACTTCAACAACCAAAAGGAACTTTCTTCACTGAATCTTCCTGTGGACTCTTTGGAATGTCATCATAGTAACAAAAGGTGGAGCCGAGTCCCAAGAAAGCCTTCTGTGGGAACAGGATGCGCATGTCAGCTGGCCGACTCCCATATTGGGTGGTCATGCAGGGTCTCCTCGGAAGCCCCCTCACCATCAGCTCGGCAGTGCAGGGGTCTCCTCGGAAGCCCCCTCACCATCAGCTCGGCAGTGCAGGGGTCTCCTCGGAAGCCCCCCATCATCAGCAACCCGGCAGTGCGGGGGTCTCCTTGGAAGCCCCCTCACCATCAGCTCGGCAGTGCAGGGGTCTCCTCAGAAGCCCCCCACGCCAACTTTACCGCTGGGTTTTGTGAAGTTCTCAATTACTCCTTGAATGAAATTGAGTTTTTATCAATGGGGTTCCCTGGAAAAGGTCCTGGTCCCACTCAGGGAGACGCATCCCTCCGCCAGCCTTGGCAAGACTCCCCCCAAGGACTCCGACTTGGGGTGGGAGTGATACAGAGCCAGCCTGCCAGGCACAGCCCATGCCTGGCGGACTTGTCACAGTTGGAGCCTTCCACTTGACCCCAGGCTGCTCCCTGGGTAGGACTGGACTGACGGTCACCACCTCTCCCCTGCAGGTGCCCATCCTGATCCCGTGCCACAGGGTGGTCTGCAGCAGCGGAGCCGTGGGCAACTACGGAGGAGGCGTGGCTGTGAAGGAGTGGCTTCTGGCCCATGAAGGGAAGCCGCCCCGTGGGGAGCGTGCCAGCACAGCCAAGCCCCAGCGAGGAGTGGCCGACGGCACCACCGACTGTTAGGAGGCAAGCTGAGACTGAGAGTGTGTGCCCAGCGTGAGCATGGACGTGGCACATGCAGGCGGTGCTGCATGGGAGGGCGTGTGTGGTGGCAGCCCCGCATTAAAGGAGTTAGTGTGTTCTGGGGAGCACTGCGGATCTGCCCTCTTGTTCTTGCATCGTGCGGCTGAGGAGGCTTGACAAACCCGGTGCTGTGCATGTCACTTGCCGCACGTCCTCATGCCCCACTCCTAGTGTCTGTTAGAGCAGGGACAAGCAGTAGGGATGGCCTAGCAGGCACTGGCCACTGCCCGGGAAAGGGGCACATCTAGACAACAGCTGCAGCGCTCGGCCGCCACCCAGAGCCATGAAGCCCAGGGTGCTGGCTCGGGCTACCCAGAGCCATGAAGCCCGGGGTGCTGGCTCGGGCCACCCAGAGCCATGAAGCCCTGGGGGTGCTGGCTCGGGCCACCCCACAGTGCAGAGCTGAGCCCACCCAGTTCGGCCCCCTGTCACCCTTCCTTCCTGGCCAAGCTCACTGCTGGACACTGCCTTACTCTTGTGCCCTCTAAAATTCCACACTGCTGCCTTGCAGGTAGGCTGGGAAGCTGGGCCAGAGGCCAGGCCTGTGTTGTAGTGTTCATTTTCCAGCTACCAGAAAAGCCATTGCTGCACGGACTCCAGACAGTGGCTGACGTCCCAGCAGGATTTGGAGTGGTGAACGCTGTTGGCCAGGCCTGGCTGAGTGACCCCTCTCACAGAGCTGCCATCTCAGGCAGATCGCGGGCCCCTCTGTGTATCAGTTTAGCAACCTTTGGGCAGATGGTAGAAAGCGAGGGACGTGGGTCACGGGTGACCCGATATTGACTGGAGGTCAGAGATCCCTGCCCCCACAGCCTGACACATCCCTGGCCCCTCATCATGCTTGTGGCCTTGTGGGTAACTACTGCAAAGCAGAAGGCACATGGGCAGCTGCAGGTATGGGACAGCATGGTAGCACATGATGGTGGGGCAGGAAGCATAGCATCCTGAAGGGGCCCCATGACCGTGTGGGCCGTGGCAGCACGCAGGACCGGTGTGTCCCCAGGGAGCGCAGTGAGATCACAGCACCCACTGGACCATATGCATGGCAAGGGTTGTTCTTCGTATCACACTGAACCGTTCACCCACACTGGAGCAGGCTGCTGGCTTTCCTCCAGCCGCTGGTGGGGTGTTCTCATTCTGCACAGGCCAGCACAGCCAGGGTTCTCCCCTGAATGCTCTGGGAGTGTTCTCTGATGCGGCTCGTGTGTAGTGCTACCCACCAGGTGGATCATGCCCCCAGGAGCCCTGAGCACACTGCCTGCCCCTGTCTGGCCAGCTCCTGAGCCCTCTCAGCATGAGAGCCCAGGGGACACCACTGTTGGTAGCATGGGCCAGAGGAGCCTGAACAGTGTTGGCACAGGAGTGCCAGGCATCCGCCCTGGAAGCAGGTGTCCCCAGCTGTTCCCCAGGAGCTGGCACCGTGTCTTCCTAGGTCAGGCCTGCACTCTATCCAGTGCTTCCCAACAGAGGGCACTGTGGCTGTGCCGTGCGCTCATGGGAGACAACAGGGCGGAGCCCTGTGCTGGCTGGACATCGTCTTCCCACAGGCTGTTCCCTGAGCCAGGCACACCTGGGTCCTACATGCAGTTGGAGTCTCCTATGTGAGTCCCAAGTTGCCCAGCAGGGTCCAACTCTGAGATGGACCTGAGCCATACACCAGCAAAGACTGAATCTGGCACAGCCCAGGTCAGGCACCTACAGCCAGGAGCCCGGCCCCGTCACATCACTGTGGGCACCGGGGAGCTTTGTGGCACCTGGACCACACACGAGCTGCTTTGGGCCAGGCCCTTGGAGCAGCACCGTCTCTAAGGGCTTCCCAGCCCCATTGTCGGCTGCCCCAGGTTGCCACTGACACAGACAGCAGCAGGGCCCACCAGCACCAGCATGACCACGTCCACTGCACAGACAACATCAGCTCAGGTCACCTGGAGCTGCCCCGCTCGAGACCGCAGTGCAGCTGGTGGAAAGGAAGAGGGAGAAGAGAGGCACAAAGAAGTAGGACAATGTTGTCCGGATACGAAGGAACAAGGAAGCTGTGCTCTTTGGGCTTGGCCCCAGTCATCCTCACCCGCCAGGGGTCCCCGTCCAATGCCAAGGCCCTTTGAAGGCCCACATGGAGAGCCTTGACTAGCTATTGCTCTGTTCTGTGCTGAGGGCAGCCTTGGGTGGCATCTATGAGGAGTCACACATAGGGCAGACAGGAACTATGCAGGACCAAACTTGGAGCTGGAGAAGCCACAGCCCCTCTCCCTCGGCCCAGCTGGGAATCAGGGCCCAGATACTGGGTGTGGAGGAGGGCCCTGGTGTTCCATGGTCCCCAATGCATGCGTCTCGGGTGGCAGGACTGCAGCAATGCTGTGTTCCGTGGTCCCTGATGCATGTGTCGCAGGTGGCAGGGCTGCAACAACGCTGTGTTCCGTGGTCCCTGATGATGCATCGCAGGTGGCAGGGCTGCAGCAATGCTGTGTTCCGTGGTCCCCGATGATGCGTCACAGGTGGCAGGGCTGCAGCAAGGCTGTGTTCCATGGTCCCCGATGATGCATCGCAGGTGGCAGGGCTGCAGCAATGCTGTGTTCCGTGGTCCCTGATGATGCATCGCAGGTGGCAGGGCTGCAGCAATGCTGTGTTCCGTGGTCCCCGATGATGCGTCGCAGGTGGCAGGGCTGCAGCAATGCTGTGTTCCGTGGTCCCTGATGCATGCGTCGCAGGTGGCAGGGGCTGCAGCAACGCTGTGTTCCGTGGTCCCCGATGATGCATCGCAGGTGGCAGGGAATCCAGAGGCAGATTTGCAGCAGCCCTGGCCCTCAGCTCACTGGGATCCCCACTCATGTTTTCTCACCAGGCACACATGGCTTACAGAACAATCCTGGTGGCTGGACCTCAAGCCGCCGCTACACATTGAGTTTCTCTTGTCTATTTCCTTCCTGGTCTCTGCCCTCTGCGTGCCACGTGGGTGCATGCCAGGGTGGATGTGTTCACTTCCTGCTTGAGGACACTGGTGTCCCCCAGAGCTTTGTTTCTATGGAACTGCAGGGTAAGAACCCTTCATGGGCCCAGCACAGTGCCTCCATGGCTGGATCCTCACCTTGCAAGTACGGGACCCCAGCTGTTCCACCTCCTGTCCAGCTCCCTGCTTGTGGCCAAGCACAGCCCAAAGCCTTGGGACCCTCTAACTGTGAGAGATCCAGGAGAAGCTCCTGGCTTCTGGCTTGAGATCGGCAAAATTCCAGCCATTGTGGCCAGCAGATGGGAGCTCTCCTCTCTCTCTCTCTCTCCTTTCTGTAAATCTGATCTGCCTTTTCAATAAAAAAAAAATGAATAAATCTTTAAAAACAATCCAAGCCTGTGCACCTAGCTTGCTGGACAGCCTCAGTGGCATGGGAAGCTCTGGGGCCCCAAGGGGTCACATCCAGGGCAGAGAGCTCCTTGCAGGGCAGTGCAGACCTGCGAGGACAGGACGCCACTGCGGGCCGGGCCATTCCTCCCTGCCTGTGTCTCACCGGCGACGTGTCCCCGTGGTGACCACAGACTGTGCAGCTCAGGCCTCACCGCCCCGAGAAGAAGCAGGGACTTGCCAAGGTGATGAGGAGCTTTTCACTTCAGTTCCAGAGTGTGCGTGGCCTTGTAGGGCTGACTGCTTTCCAACTGTGCAGGCGGTGAGTGTGGGCGCCTTTCCTGCTGGCTTTCCCCAGATCAGGGCACGGGGCCGTGTGGGGTGGCGTGGGGCCTTGTCCCAGGTCCCGCGTGGAGGACGAGGGCGGGGACTCGGCACAGGGCCGTGTGGGTGGCACGCAGCTGTGTCCCAGGTCCTGCGTGGAGGACCAGGGCGGGGACTCCAGGCACGGGGCCGTGTGGGGTGGCGTGGGGCCTTTTCTCAGGTCTTGCGTGGAGGACGAGGGCAGGGACTCCGGGCACGGGGCCTTGTGGAGTAGCGTGGGGCCTTGTCCCAGGTCCCGCGTGGAGGACGAGGGTGGGGACTCGGCACAGGGCTGTCTCTTGAGTCCAGCGTAGCTCGGTGGTATGCTTTCTTGCCAACTGCAGCGAAGGGCGGGGCATGCCTCCACGTAGAGGGCCTTTGGTTGGGGATTTGGATTTGGTCTCATTCCTGGGCATTTGGCTTAAATTTCCCGTCTGAGAAATTGAGGTCAAGGTTGGTGTTACTTGGTCTCGGAGATGTAAAGACTGAATGCTGTGCAGAGTTCACTGCCAGGCAGAGAGAGAGTGCGTGCCGTCTGTGCATTGGAGGGGGAGGCAACAGTGAGAACTCGGGGCAGGAGCCTGGAGAAACTGCTGGTCCCGGCGTGTCTGAGCGACGGGAGCAGCCATGCAGAGGCCTCGGACCCCACGGCTCCGGCTGCTGACAGATGGGGGCCGTCTGGCCTCCTTCACCCAGGTTGGCTCCGACAAGGGTCCGTGATGGGGGTGGAGTTAGGGTGGATGAGAAAGTAGGCCGTGGCAACTGGGCAGAGCCCAGCCTGACACACCGCTGACTGATGAAAGGACACTGGCAACGAGCCTTTAAAGTTTCTCATTAATGTTTTTTTCATTGAAAAAAGCCACAAGGAAAAATTCCACATGGACAGTAATTAAGATCGATCCCAAACAGTGTGCTATCAGTGTTGTTGGCAGCCTTTAAGGGGAAATAAAAGCGAGGCTCGCCCGTGCGATGCTGTTTGCTGGGCCCATTCGGATCTCATGCAACGGGGCGGGGCCTGTGGCAGGGACAGGAAGCTGAGGTGCCAGCCCAGCAGCCCGTGCCTGCCCGGGGAGAGGGACGTGGAGCGAGCCTGAGTGGGTTCAGCAGTGGGGGTGAGGGGCTCTGTCCTCCCTGCATGTCCCTGAATGCTAGGCCAAGCTGTCCCCCAGGACACACGTGGTGCCTGGCGCTCACATCCCCCCTTGCTTGCCGACGGCGTCTGGATTCTACACAGGAGTAGTTTGTGTGCCTTCAGACTGATTAGGGACAGCAGCTGGAGAGAGTATCCGCGTGCAAGCATTAGGCAGCACGTGGCGTTGAAGGAGGCAGCGTTGCCTGTGCGTCGGTTGCCGTGACTGCAGCAGAAGCACGCGCAGGT